GACATGCGTAATCTTGTGTGGCTTGCAGAATACGTTTGGCGTCTAGTGCACGACCTTAACTGTTGGTGGCCGCCCTGGTTGATTTACGAAATTCGGCCTGGGCTTGGCCACCACGGTTTGCCCCGGCAGCGTGGCACGCTGTCACCGGAATCACTGAGGCCACGCTCATGCGAACTTGACCTTGAACGAAAAGGCCGCGCGAGCGGCGTGAGATACCCGACTACGCAAGTTGCGCGTTCGTTTTGCTTTGCTGTTTTCGAGGTGATTAAAAAAGCAAACAAATATAAATTTGAATGAGAAATATAACAAAGTATTTCCCATGCTAAGTACGTCCTTTTCATGCACGTCTTTTTTGTGACAGATACGTTTTCGCCTCCAATTCCTGTTGAATCATAGCTGGTCGATTCAAAACAGAGCAAAAAAAAAAAAAAAAAAAAAACAGGTACCGAGAAAAGAATAGACGGAATTCGAGCGCTGACTTTTAACAGAATTTTTTATACTAATTACTGCGCATTCTCTTACAAGAAAAGAAAACTCCTGACGACTTTCCTGGCTAGATACAATACAGCATTAGTCTTAACAGTGTTAACAATTACATCATTACAAAAAAGAAATTTCGTTTTCCTGGAGGGCTATTGAAGCCTGGCTGACACAGCTACGCTCAGCCTGCTATATTCGTATTCTGTGGGCCTCGAATATTTGCGGTGTCAAGTGCATGACTGCTGTGGCAGAAAGAAAATCCACATCCGAGAAAATTCGTGTTGAGTGTATGATGGATCCCGTTGGTCTTTTGTAAGAGTTCGATCGTTCGACAGCTTGATAGCTTGTGATATGCTCGTAAGGTAGGAAGGTAAAGAGGGGCAATTTATCTTTATCTACGATCGCAGTGATTTCTTCAAGAAAGAAGAAAAATCAAAGCGAGTGAGAGCTATAAGCGTTCACAACAACCTGCGGTTATTTAGTAACTACGGTTTACTTACATCAAAGCTGCGCTTGCGTGCAGAGAGATTTCAAAGCATTTGCAGAATACTCGACGCATATTGGGAAATTCACACATTCGCTCTACGTTTTTACAGACAGCCTTTTCTCTTTTCTTTTTCTTGAACATATAGTAAATATGCTTATCGCAGTTCAGGAAAGGACATCACCGTGTGGATTCTAGTTCGCTGAATGGAATTACGGCATGTACGTGTGAAGCACCTATCTTGCTGCGAGCCGTTCCTCACGCGCTTTGCAGCGGCGGCATCGACATCAACATCTCCTGGCGAATGCACGACACGGACGACTCTATATATCCCCTTACTCCCTCCCTCCCTCCCCTTATCGCCGCGACAAAAAGAAAAAAAAACTGTTCAGTATTCTCGTCATGAAGATGGCTAAGCCTCATGCACGGAAGAAAAAGGCAAGCCAGTCGGGTCTACGGAGCCTGCTGCGCTGACGACTCGGACGCACATGCACTCTTCAGTTTATGTTGACTTTGTTTTCTTTATTTGAGGAATACACGTAGGTCGGAAGAGTTGGTAGCACTAAGTCTGACTGTCCGCGCCGTGTGTGTCACCTTTCTTCCTTTCTCATGTGCGCTAGGCACTTTTTCCGCTTCTCTCTTTTTTTTCTTTTTTGGCACGAAGAAATGCCCGTCAGCTTCGTGCAAACTTCGTGATACGAAGGTATTGAGCACACAAGCGCGCGCGCGCACGCACACACACACACACACACACACACACACACACACACACACACACACACACACACACACACACACACACACACACACACACACACACACACACACAACCCACACACACACACACACACACACACACACACACACACACACACACACACACACAAGCTCATATACGCATGCTTATATCAAGGCACTTGTTCTGTGATCATCTTCTGTGTGTGCCAGAAGACTACTATTTTAGCGCTATAGAATCTCCGAATTTGAACATGCAACGCAATAGACAGCTTTTAGTGTCAGGAAACGGGGACAAAATAGAGAGAGACAGAGACAGAGAGATAAAGACTTCCTCACTTATAGATAGAGAACTGCGCATTCAGGCTTGTCTTTGCAGAGAACAGCCGGTACATTGTATTAAAAATCTTTCCTCCAAGCTCCCACCATTATATCGGCGTGGAGAGCCAACAAGCCTATCTGCTCTTCAGAACCAGCGCTTCAAACCAATCTGGTAACATATGTGAAGCAAAAAAAAAAGCAAAAAAAGGATGCATAGCGATAAAGTGGATGAATAGCGATGAAGAATGGACCAAGAGCGATGAAGAATGAGAGAGAGATCGTAGGTGTTGCAGACAGCAAAATTGGAGTCGTGCTACCCCGCGAGAGATAAAGAAACTAGCGCCATCTTCCATCTTCCTTGAAGAACGTAACCGTTATCATATCGAACAGAAAGCAAACCGGAATGTATAATGACAGAGGGAATGACACAAAGAATGGATATAACATCTATGTATTCATTTTAGTTGTCGTCTTGCTATTTTTTTATGTTACGGCATCTTACAAGCCTAATACCGTACGTATGAGGGAAGGGCCATACACAGAAATGGTTTTGTGAGTGTGTGTGGGGGCGAGGTCGTGGGGGTTGACCGTTTTTTATGTATGCGTTTGCATGTGTGCATGTGCAGGGAGACGTGCAAAATGGCAAAAATTTGGGGGAAGGGTACAACTTCCTCAACCCCTGACAACGCCATTGTATCAGGAGGGGCATACAAAACTTCTGATATGCATGTGCCTGGTCGTAGACAAAAAAAGGGGGGGGGAACGAGAGAGAGAGAAACCCCTCAGAATGAGAGCATGAAGAGGCAGTAGCGAATGTTAAAGAAGAAAAAAAAAGTACACATTTGCCGAGACGAAAGACTACAACAGCAACACAATCGGAAACTCAGCACTGACAAATAAATACCTACACCCAAGTTACACAGCGGGATCGTTTCGCGTTTCTTCGCCGACGCGGGCTGTGCGAATTCGCGAAGCCCCAACAATGGTTCGTTCCAGTCCCTGTGTAGGACGCAGCGAGTTCCTGGCACTCAGGTCACGTTTACCGCGAGTTGGGACGCGGACGAACGCGCCTCTCTTTTCTTTATTCGAGCAAATATCCCCCGGCGACTCAAAAAAAGCCTCGGAAGCAGTCGGGAGACCGAGCGCGCGCCTCGATGCGAGCCACCACCAAAAGCCCCACGCCGAAAAGGGGTGGTTGAAGGAGCGCAAAGAGTATGGAATTTCGCAGATAAGACACCTTTGAAGGCAATGCGTTCCCTGGGACTCCCTAAAGGGACGCTATAGACAACAAATTTTGTCAGACAGTAAATTACAGATTTTTGAAGAAACACAACAGAGGGGGGGAAAAACGAGGACAAAAAGAAGGGGAACAGAGCACTGCACTCACAACTGAAAGTTTATTGGAAGGAAACCAGAACTCATAAGCGAATAACCACGCTTGAAGACGGAAAGATGCTTATAAGCGAGAAAACATGGATGAACGCAGTTTTTCGCTTATAAATTCATGTTTCCTTCTGATAAACTTTGAGTTGTAAGTGCAGCGCTGCCCCCCCCCCCCCTTTTTTATTCGTTACTTTTTGTGTGTGATGTCTATTTCCGAAAATGAACAAGCACCAACTTGGAAATTTACCCTGTCGTTATCATAAATTATTCTCTCACAATTCCAGAATCACCACGCTTGTAGCGAGAACATGCTTGGTAAACGAGGAAATGCGCGACAAGAAAATGTGGGTGGCGTTGCCACCTTGAAGTCACCTCGCCAAATGTCGTGACGTCACAGATTTTGCCGGCATCTGCTTGGGCCTACGTAGTTCCCATTCAGTAAAAATGAAGTATACTGTCTTTGCAGGGGGCCAGAGACCGTTTTTTTTTTAGCCAATGCAGTGGTATTTAAAATAATACACTGAAAATCATACGTTCCGCGAACAGATTTCGGGCAGAATATTAAAAAATGAAAGTTTGACCTCAACTTTCTGCTGTCTTAACAAACCCAACCCTATTCAATTAACTACATCAGTGTTTTCAGCGTACAAGTTATTAAACTAAATCGATTCATTCCTTCAATGTAGTATCCCTTCAGGTCCGTTCTATGAGCGTCTACGGCGTCCGACTTTTCTGAAACGATGTGGAACGAAAGCATTGCAGGCTAGCATAGCGTCTCTAACTGATATCTAGAATTGTCAAAAAAACCAAAAAAAACAGCAGTGGGCACAGGTTAACGTCACCCGACGAAGACGAATATTCGTTAAATCACTGCTAAGATTGGCAACTTCGCCCAACTAAACAAACGACACATAGGACATCTGCGCACACAACATGCATAGTTCAAGACATTTTTGTCCGAACCTTAGTGGTTCAACTTGACTTTAATTGTACATTATGTTAATGTTGCATAAGTATTCTTAATTAGGCCTGCAATATAAACAGCAATTTCTTTCGAAAGATCGACGCACGCGTATTGATACAATTTTATGAGGGACAAAAAGAACGTCGCAAAGATACTAATTTAGATAAAAGTTATTTCCTGCATCATTCATTGTTAACAGGTACTCATAATCGCATGTTTCTTATGTTTTCTTAACTACGCAGCATTTCTTTTTGCGAACATGGTCGTTCGGGGACCATTTGCAAGCGCCCTGTGTTTGATGTGAGAAAATCTCCATCAACACTTCTGCTTCGCGTCGACGTCTGGTGTGCGAACATTAGTCATGTGTGAACTACCCCGTTGCGTGGACGTTCATGCTCTGTCACTTAGGTGAGGTATGTGAATGTACATTTATTCATGTGCTATAATTTGTATAGTTTTGTGATGGCTAACCACTTTACGATGACAAGTGGCATGTAAGAGAGTAGCAGTCACCAACCTCTCCTAATATGCACTTATTTAAGAAGTTATATGAAGAAGACACCCTGACTTTTGTAGACCCCCCGTTGTGCCCCTGAACAAGTAATGCATTCATAGTCCGCGAAACAGGCTCACCTGTAGAATGTGCGTGCCTTGGTGCTGCTCGAAAATGTCCACGGCGAAGTTGTTTATAGACCGTCCCCGAAGTGAAGCTCCTGAAAGACAGAACGAAAAGGCAACAGTGTGAGATGCACAAGAAACTTCACTCACTTGACAACAGGCTTTAAATATCGCAGATTATCCGTTTTTATTACTTTTCTTTGGCAGCGATCTCACAGGCATGTCAATTTTAATTTAGACATAAGTGCGCTCAATTAGGGCAACTTTCTCAGTTTTGGAAAAGGATGATTTAAACGTGGTCGTCCTTTTAGCGCCGTGGACAGTTTAACATCTTCATCTAACAGATGCATGGCGTTGCGAGGACAAAAACAAAAGCAAAACACAGTTATCGGTAGCTGTAAAATGTAATGTTTGAGAAATATTTTGTCAGGTCAATAAAGAACGTTTATGATACCAGTCCTAAAATACCATTGCAAGTGTTGTTCTTGTTGAAGCTTCGTATTGAGCACGTCAACGCACGAGTGAACAACTTGACTCGATCACCAATTCGCTCAACCGCAATCTTCAAGAGGAAGGCACGCAGACACTCACACAAGAGAAGAGAAAGATATGATACGACTTCTTGCATGCCTTGCTTTCGTCGACGATCAATCCCTGTCAACGGACTCAACTCAACGGTGAAGAGACGGACTGAGACAATTATATGCCACCGCCCACCCGACAAAAGCGCATTGAGGCTTTCTAATTAAAGCCAAACTCGATTGTTTTTATCAAGATAACTATCGTAAAACCCTGGGGTCTTGACCCTCGTTGCAGTACGTGGCCAAGACTACGTGAAAACCGGTCAAGAAGACCGGACTTCACGAGCGTCTGCGAACAAGCAGCGCGAGCTAGAGCGGTGGGTGTTCCCACTAACGGTTCATGCCTTCCCTTTTCTCACTCTTGTTCTTTCTTCTCTATCCTATTTATTCCCCATTTCACCGCATTACGTGAAGGGCAGCCAAGCCAACCAGCGCTTCGATGACGTCCCTTTCTTTCCCTTGCATTTCTCTCTCCTTTTCTACCGTATTGATTAGCTCCTCAAGTCACAGTGTCCGCACGTGCGGTCGCAGCTTATTTTGGCGGTTCTTTCAACTAATGGTCAAGAAGTAGCAAGTTATATTACGCTTTGAGTAACTTGAAAACCTCCCGCATAGTCAACATGTCTCCATATATATTCTGCGTGCTGCGTATTTTTCGGTCTACCACAGCGGTGACGGTACTGCAATGCTGGACGGGTCGTTCGACGCGTCGGTTTCAAGGAGAAATTCCGAAAGTACAATTTTGTTCGCCCTAAATGAGTCTGCACACACTCTGAGCCCAAGATTTGATTCTTTTCCTGCAAAAAATAAAACATGTCTTCAAAAATTTTATCTCCACAATTACAATGACATTAGGACTGTATCCTGAAGATTTCACAAAACACCATGTTGCCTCCTTTTGTTTCTGATAACAGAATACCGAGTGCCTTAAAATAATGCTCTATAATCACGTTAGCAGACTCTCTGTCATAATTTGTGTCATCCATATTCGTCCCCATCATCCATTTTATCATCGCCCCACTAGTTCGCTAAACACGTCATTCCCTCACTTTGAACAGAGCACTGTTAGGCCAGCTGTGAGCTACGAATTCCCTCCTGTCCCAGGAACTAAGCACTGAGCAGACCGAAAGAGGCAAAGGGCGAGCAAGTCGTCAAGCGCCACGGCCCTAACACCGTGCTGTTAGAATCGCGCAAAGTACCAAGTCTACTTGCCAGTGCTTAACGGTGCGACGCCGGCGGAGGGCAAAAACATATCTCCTGATTACGGGGCGTCGGAGACAAAGAAACACAAGGCACGGTGGCGGAGGAGGGAGAGATCCGAATTAAGCGTTACACAGATGGCCACTTCGCGCGACTCCTCCGGTCAGTCCTACGCACAGTCGTGAAAGCACGATCCCAGAGACGTCTTTTACTTATTCAGAAGGGCTGGCTCCTTCGGGGCCCGTTTCGTGCCTCGGAGCTTCAGCCGGCTGCAAGTTTGGCGACTCGCCGGGGAAGGACCGCTTCGTCGGCTGCAGCGACGGGAGGCGTACACAACACCCTTCTAGCTGGGCGCAGGTACGAGGTGCGCGCTAATTGCTGGCACGTGAGTCGCAGTGGAAGAGGTCTATAAATAATTATGCGAGTTCATTACGGGACGGTCCTGATTGCCCTAGAAGACAATCGTGGACGGCGCCATGAGGACGAAATCTCTGCACGGCTGAGACAGCATTGGCCATCTTTAAGAGGGAGCTAAAAAAAATGCTGATACAAGCAAAACAAGCAAAAAAATAAATTATAGCGCAACCACAAAATTTGTTTGTACCCAAATTAATATTATTATTGGGGTCATTAAAGCGTTAAAATTGAGTGATTAAAATTCACCTGTCGGGATGTCTGCGATTGTCATGTACTTCTTAAAATGCTGCCTTCATAATGCGATAGCTGAAATGAAGACAAGTGCTACGCTGATGTGTCACACAGATGTGATGTAGTTTAAAAGAATGCGTCACTGAGATAGTTGGTTCATAATCATAAAGCTTCTACTCTGTTCCTTCCTGTCCTCATCGATTTTGCGCTACCAAGCTTTAAGATGTGATGTATGTGCCTGCATGATGTTCTGTGCGCTTATGCTATATGATATGTGATCATGTTCTGTGTGTTTATAAACACAAAACGATTACGTGTTTTATATTTTGATGGTTTCATCAACGTGAATGACACTGTTGTGTTTATACTAATAGTTTTTTTATGTAAACAAAACCATTGCGCCTATGCTGCAGTATCTGCTAGTACGGGGCGAAGGTTCGTTCAATTCATCCTTGAATAGCTTTTCCCTCAAGTCACTTGCCCTCAGACGTGTCGTGACCAATGTGTCGTGACCAACTAATAAGTGAAATACAAAATCGAATGAAGCAAACTCAAACTGCTTCAATCGTCTTGAATACGAACGGTTCTCACTCGCGCGAATCATGCGTCACACGGAGCCTCAAATGCACTCTTTAAGACTATGACTACCTTGACTGCGGGACAACTTCGTAGGCGCGCACCGCTGCGGTGGTCTAGTGGCTAAGGCACTCGGCTGCTGACCCGCAGGTCGCGGGATCGAATCCTGGTTGCGGTGGCTGCGTTTCCGATGTAGGCGGAAATGTTGTAGGCCCGTGTACTCAGATTTGGGTGCCTGTTAAAGAACCCCAGGTGGTCGAAAATTTCCGGAGCCCTCCACTACGGCGTCTCACAATCATATGGTGGTTTTGGGACGTTAAACCCCACTTATTTATCTATCTCACTTCGTAGGCCCGTGCGTGACCTCTACGAGGTCGTGGATCTGTTATCTTCGCAAACCCAGTGGCGGTAACACCCGTAAGCCACTCCCACGCGTAGGCTGCGTGTCGTGGCGTCTCTTATCTGAACCATTTATCGCGATCAAAACACGGCGATCCCTTGGGTCCCGCCGAAACGTGTCTCCCGGCGAGACGGAGGACAACAAAACACGGAGCTTTGTTGCTCTCCCAGGCGACGGCCACGGCGCCCGCTACGTGTTACGAAGCGACCCGCCAGCAATCCCCCGAAAACAGAGTGACCAAAAAAGTAATGAAGGAAGAGGAAGCAAAATAAGAACAACCTGTGTCCAATCAACAAACAAGAGAGAGGGCGTGGCCTCATGCCCGTTATCCACGAGGCACGTAGGCGCAGTAGCGGTTGCACTCCGCTTCAAAGCGCGCCTGGCCAAACTCGACGTAGCAACGGCAGAGACAAGCGATCACCGGACCGACCATGACTGAATCGAAGAGGGGAGAAACAGATCGGCAGAAAATGAATCCGAAGCAGAACGAGGGCGACGATGAACGGAAAGAAAAGAAACAAGCTGTTAACCAGCACAACCAAATACAGACAGAGAGAGTCCATCGAAATGGCCAGACACCAAGATCAAAGAGCTTGGAGCGCCGTGCGTTTACATGCCGCTGTTTTCGAGAGGTGCCGCTGCCAACGTATTATGGGCGTTGCGGTCACCTAGCCGCGCCTACGGTTAGTTCACGCCAGCTACGCTATTACGAGCATGTGCTCTTCAATCTTACTTGTTTGTGTTTTTTTTTTGCGATAATAACGTTTTCTCTTCGCTGTACAAAGCTGAACGTGTACTTCATCCTGAGCTTGTAACACCTAAAACAACTTTTTAAAATATTTTTTTCGCTTTTATTTTTTCTCATTTTGTACGACGACACATCTAATACAGAGCAGGGGACGTATGTAGCCACTTCTCAGGGCCCCTGATTTAATTTTTTTTTCTCTTCATCTGTACTCTTCTTTTCGACACGTACGTGTCGGCCAAGCAATCTATGAGCCTTTTTTATTTTTTATTCTTTTTTTCTGTGAGGTGTGTCCAGCACGACGCACTTCAGGCGGGGCGCATATAGAGCGCTGCCACAGTGCGTTACGCCGCCGGCCAGCGCCCCTCCACCCGCTGACCGGTCGGCCAAGACTCCCAAGGGATTCCCTTCCCAATTAAAGCGAGTCGGCGGTGGCGGTAGTAGAAAAGGCTCGATCGCCGGTCAAGATGCTTCTTTCTTTCTTTCTTTCTTTCTTTCTTTCTTTCTTTCTTTCTTTCTTTCTTTCTTTCTTTCTTTCTTTCTTTCTTTCTTTCTTTCTTTCTTTCTTTCTTTCTCTGGCTTTTCTTTTTTTTTTCGATCTTCCCTTGCTTATTTTTTCAACGTCCTCGTCCATTCTACAACACCGTCCTCCTCCCTCGCATAACGCACGTCACCATCATGAAAATCATGTGAGCGAAAAGAGGGAAGAGAGAGCGAGAAGACTAACGAAGTCACCTATTCATTCACCTAAGACTACTCGAAGGCGAAAGGCATCATCACCTTATTTTTATTTTTAGTCGTATTCACTGGACCCTCCTCCCTCGAATGTTTTCCGCGTCTAACGTGACTTTGCCCTGCCTCCATGATTGAAACACCTGTGACCAAGCGACGGTGTAACGCGATGACGTCATTCCGAGAAGTAACGTAATGCGACTTCACAAGTTT